GGCCGTAAGTGGCCTTTGACTATTAATTTTCTTTGGACAATTGGCCATTAGCCATAAGTCAAAAACTTCCGACAACGTCGTGAGGATTACTAGCGTGTAGGAAACTACTATCACTGGAATTGTCGGATGTGGATCTGATCGTGGCTACTGGAGCTGCGGCAGAAACAAAGTGGATCTGATCGTGGCTACTGGGGCAAGGGACCATTTGGATTATCCTCTACCGTGTGGACATGGACTGCATGCTGTCACGCTACTCTGCATGCCTTTCATTGGAGTTCGAGCCACTTGGTAAAACAGCTGTTGTCTTTTGTTCAGCCAAACCGGCTGAATAATGTCGGAGGACAGCGCCACTGAGGGTGCATTTACGGTCGACGCCCACAAGAGGGCAGCAAAACCAACAGAAAAGGCCATGGAGCAGCGGCTACAGCTCTGCATCAATGCAAGGAGAGGTAAATTAAGACAACTCACTGCCAAAATGAATGAAGTTGAGCCTTTAATGGGCAACACCTGTAACTTGTAATCTCAAATATGAGACTTTTCAAGGTAATCTTTGAAGAGTTTAAAGACTGTAACTGCTCAGTTGTGCTTTTTATGGACGAAGAAGAAAAGAGCCATGATCAAGAGAGCTGGTTTGAGCCTAAATCTCAGAGTTTTCACCACTTTATTAAAGAATCTGATATGTGGATTAATTGTGAGGAGCATTGCAAAGAAATACCACAAGCCTGCATTGATAATGTTTCTCATATGGACAGTGTATCTGTGGTGTCAAGATCCAGTAGAGCTAGCAGGGCTTCATCCGCTTCAACAGCATCCTCAGCACGATTAAGAGAGGAAGTAAAGCGTGCAGCTTTGGAAGCCAAGGCTGCCTCGCTAAAGCAAAGTCAAGCCTTGGCAGTTAAGGAGGCACATCTTCGGGCTGAGAAAGAAGAGCTGAAAATTAAAACAGCCTTAGCAGTGTCAAATGCTAAAATTAAAATATATGAAGAGTATGACGCACAGGATAAGAGTGATGCAATGAACACGTATTTGGACAATGCAAACACACAGCAGAAAGAAGATACACAAGAGCAAGCAGGACACAGCCATCCACTAATCCCAAGCAGTCATGTAAACCCATCAGATAGGTCTATTTCAGCACCTAAAGCACCAAAGGCTCTGGACTCAAGTACATTAGCCAGTGGGGCACATCAGCGACAAAGTGACTATGAAAAGGACATATGCAAAGTAATCAAGAAGCAGACTGATATAACAGAAATGCTTGTGAAACATCAGCAGCTCGCCCTTCTCCCACAGCGTGATATTCCTGTTTTTTATGGTGACTTGCTCGACTTCAGATCTTTTCTTAAGGCATTCCAACACACAGTCAGCTCCAGAACAGACAATGCTGCAGATAAGATGTACTTCCTGGAACAGTATACAAGAGGTGATCCCAAAGACATTGTAAAAAGCTGCCAGCATATGGCCCCCGACCGTGGTTTTCAGAGAGCCATGGACATGTTGGAAGACCGCTACGGCAACCCACTGAAGATTGCCACCGCTTTGATGGAAAAGGTGCTAAAATGGCCGCAAATAAAACCAGAGGACTCACAAACACTCAACAAGTTTTCCCTATTCCTTTTAAATTGCAGAAACGCCCTGGAGGATGTGAATTACATGGAGGAGCTGGATAACCCTACAAATATGAGAGTTATCGTCTCGAAGTTACCCTATAAATTCATAGAAAGATGGAAGGTGCTAGCATTCAAGATCCAAGAAAGGAGCCAGAGAAGAGTGAGATTCAAAGACTTGGTCGACTTTGTGGATGAACAAGCCAAAATCCTGGCTGACCCTCTCTTTGGTGACCTGCAGGGATCTGCTGCCGAAGCGAAAAGCAGGAACGTTTTACAAATGGAGAAAGATACCAGGAGTGAAAGGATTAAAGGAAGCATCTTTGCAACCAGTGTGGCCACATCAACAGAGGAAGATAATTGCAAACCACTGACAGTAAATAGCAGGACGTCAAGTAATGTTGCCTTCATGAAGCCATGTTTGTTCTGCAAAAAGGACCACTCACTATTGGAGTGCCATCAGATTGCAGAAAAAGCTCATAAAGACAAGGTGGACTTTATATGGAAATCTGGACTATGTTTTGGATGCCTAGTTAAAGGGCACGTGAGTAAAGACTGCAAAAAGAGAATGACATGCCAAACATGTTCAGAAAGACACCCAAGCTTGCTGCACATTCATAGATTGGACAATGTTTCCAATCATGCACGTGCAGAAAGCCAAGAGGTGGCCAGGTCAGACAACACAGTAGTTTCAAGTGCACTGGTGAGCATAGACCAGGAGACTACTACCTGTGAAGGGGCCGGAGATAGATGTGTTCTTGCGATTCTTCCGGTCTACATCAAAGCAAAGACAGGAAGCAAGCTTGTGAAAACCTACGCCTTCGTGGACCCTGGGAGCTCTGCAACATTTTGCACAGACTCTTTAGCAAGGCAGCTAAACCTGCAGGGAAAAGGAGCGCAGCTTGTCCTAACAACAATGAGCTCAACCGAACAAGTGAAAAGTTCTCTGCTGAGAGATTTGGAGGTCTGTGGAATCAAAGAAGATAAGTTTATCAGCCTAAAAAAGGTTTTCACGCAAAAGAGCATCCCAGTAACAAAGGATCATATTCCTCTTCAGAAAGACATTGAAAAATGGCCACACCTCCTGGAAGTAGAGCTGCCGTGCATCGCTGCTGAGATAGGACTCCTAATTGGAAATGACGTGTATGAAGCTTTCGAGCCATGGAAAGTCATTCACAGTCAGAACAACGGCCCATATGCTGTAAAGACGGTCCTTGGCTGGACTATTAATGGCCCACTTAAAGAACAAGAAGACAGTGTGCCAGAGGACGGTGAGCAGCACCAAGTCACAATCAACCGGATTGCAGTAGAGACTGTGGAAAGGCTACTCATACAGCAATACAATGCAGACTTTCCTGAGCATTGCTACAGCGACAAACTGGAAATGTCAAAAGACAAACCATTCATCAGCTCTGTGTCCAGCTCAATCCATCATGCTGAAGGACATTATTACATCAATCTACCTACAAAGACATCATTGGTCAGCTTGCCAAACAATAAGTATGCTGCAGTGCAGAGAGCAATTAACCTAAAGAAGAGACTCACCAAAAAAACAGAATTCCACCAGGAATACACAGACTGTATTAGTGACCTGCTAAATAAGGGATATGCAGTCAAGGTGCCAGAGACACAACTGAGCTGGCAAGAAGACAGAGTGTGGTATATCCTACACCATGGTGTGTACCACCCACAAAAGAAAAAACTCCTGGTGGTCTTTGACTGTGATGCAAGTTTCTATGGAACTTCAATCAATAACGAATCGCTTCAGGGTCCTGACATTACAAGCTCCCTCATCGGAGTCCTGACACGTTTTAGACAAGAGCATGTTGCAATGATGGCAGACATAGAAGCCATGTACCACCAAGTCAGAGTCCCAGAAGAGGATACGGACCTCCTACGCCTTTTGTGGTGGTCTAATAGAGACCTCACACAAGAAATGGTTGATTACAAAATGGTTGTACACATTTTCGGCACCACCTCGGCTGCCAGCTGTGCTAACTTTGCCTTAAGAAGAGCAGCAGAAGAAAACAGGACTGCGGCAACAACTCGGGCCGTAGAGACAGTTCTGAGGAACTTTTACGTTGATGACTGTTTAAAGTCGGTCAGTGGTGACTCTGAAGCCATTGCCCTGGGCAAAGACCTCATGTCCTTGTGCACCTCAAGAGGCTTTCACCTTACCAAAATGGACTAAAGTGAAGCAGAATCTAGCACCAGGGCACATTGTCATGATCCTGGACGACAACGCCCCTCGGAGCTCGTGGCTTCTGGGAAGAGTCGTGCAGACCATCACAGACTCTAAAGGACTGGTTCGTAGAGTACTGGTTAAAACAAAATCCAGTACTTTGGAGAGGCCTGTGGAAAGACTTTGCCTCATTTGTGAATAGGGCACTTGATTTTGCCTTTACAAAAAAAAATGTACATAAAATACGTATATTTAGTTTGTTTATGGAAAACCCATGTCAAGGGGTGTAGGTGGATTCCTCCCCCAAAGGTAAACGCAAACGCTGTTTGTTAGGAGTATAGTTGAGCTATTATTAGCCATATGTTAGTTTGGAAATGGCTCTTGTTATTATTTATAATTATAAGTCTTCCCGCCTTATAATTAGGGGCCGGAATTGTAAGAGCCATTTAGGCACATTATTTTATGGTAATGAATTATGGTTTTGTGAGCCAATTGAATATTCTTTAATTTAACTTAAATGAGCTGAATAATTATGAATTACTATTATACTGTTTTTGTAACATGTCATCTTGCTTATGGACAGCTCTAGTTTATGTTTGTTATTATTTATACAAAGCAATAGGAGGGGCGTGCTCAGGTATAAATGACGCTGCCAGCATGACACAGCAGGAAGTCTAGAGAGGAAGTTGGAAAAAGTTTTTGACCGCACACATCCGTATGACCAGGAATCTTGTTTGTTTATTTGTTTTAAATACCGTGCAAACGTTGCACGTCGGCAGTGGGCCGCCAGCTGATGGAACCTTTCAATAAAGCACCTGAATGGAACAAGCAAGGTATCTGGTTTCTTGAATATACGCGAGTCAATACTCGAGCTCGCCTCCTAGACTAAGTGGCCTTTGAGCATTAATTTTCTTTGGACAATTGGCCATTACAACATTTATTTTGGAGGAAAACTTAGCGTGAGGAAAGGCATGTGTGGCGTGAGGTCGTCAGATATGGGTTAATTGCGTGACTCTCACGGTCAATGCGTGAGGGTTGGCAGCCCTGCTTAAAGCAATGGGCAAACACGTATTCCATGGTGTAACATGGTGCACAACACTTATTATCACACAAACAAAAGACACATTTGTTTAATTCCCTCAAAAGACCCAAGGTGGCGGAAAAAATGAATAAATACTAACTCGCATTCACTTGTTGCTGCTTGTTAACAGGCAGCCACATTTCAGAGGTGGTGCAGGAGAGCGAGGCTCCGATGCAGCAGGTGGAGCTGCTGCCGCTGCACAGGGAGCAGGAGAGGGAGGTGCTAACTGCACAGGCTGAACACACTAAAGCCCCGGCCACACGAGGACGATAACGCAAACGTTATCAAAAAAGTCTTCCATCCACACGCAACAGCCACCAGAAACGTGTCCGTTCACACTAGACCGCTCGAAAGCGCTGGAGACGCTGTAGTACATATGCCAGACCTGTAAGTGGCGCTGTAGTCTGCCACAAAAGCAGCGAAGAAGACTTCCTGCGCATGGTTGCCATTGTTGCCCTTCTGTTTATTCTCCGCTGTGGCTCTTTTTCTCCCTCCCCAAGGCAAGCACTGTAATTCTCTCCGGTTAGTCCACCAGCAGATGACAAACACCCACCTCTCCGCCTCTTCCAAGGGACGAGGGGACCGTGCAGCAGAGTTTCAGTTAGATTTTTTTTCGCCGGTCAACATGTCCGTTAAAGTTAAAATCTTCCGGACTAAATTTGAAAAGTACCGGTCAAAGGTCTTCTTTGTTATTTATTGAGCTTTAAAACAAATTAATAACGACTCTAGGCTATATAATAATATACGAATAAAAAACAGAGCCTCTCTTTTCCACCCCCTCTTCTGACAGCCCAGCAGCTGATCTCTGAGCAGGATACGTGGGGAGAGGCGGGGCTATTGCTTCAACGTTATCAGGAAATTATCGTATAGGCATAAACACAGAGCCGTTTGCCCCCCCAGAGCGTTTCGTTTGCAGATCTACCCACCTTGGGACCCGTTATCGTTTTCTGCATTACCTTGTTGGCCTTGTGTGGCCGAACCGTCTATCTCAGGGGTTCCCAACCTTTATTGTGCCAAGGACCGGCAGATACATTAAAAAAAATGTGCGGACTGGTTGTCAATTTTAACTGTTTTCAATATTGACTCACCAGCAGGTGGCAACAGAGGCTAATTGTATTTAACAGCCTGAAGAAATACCAATATGCATCCAAAACATATTAACGTTTAAAACCATCATACAATTAAAACAAAAAATTAGGACCGCTTTACAAATATTAATATAATATAGCCTAATATAGGTGACAACAGTGGCTAATTGTATGTAACATGCCTGAACAAATAATAGAACAATATGCATCCAAATCATATTAACAAAGTTTAAAACCAGGATACAATTAAAACAAATTAGGACCACTGTACACATTGATATAACTGAAATGTCAGTGAGACCCCTGGGCTTGTTTGCCAGCCATAATAACCTAGGAGCTGGCCAGATGTGTGTAAATTACTGTTCATGGTAATTTGAAAACAAATGCCGTTGTTGGACACACACAAACACACCGAACATACACACACACAGTGGAGCTGAGCAGAGCACATACACACACATCATGCGCCTTTGTGACCGGACATTTCATAGCAGCCTGCAGTGGGGAACACAGTGAAGGCGGTGTGTATGCGCTGGTGCTGCACTTCTCAGAGGCTGCCTCCTGATGCTGCAGCCATTTCATGAAGTGAAGAAGGTTTTACAAATAAAAAAATAGCCCTACACCCCTGGCAGCAATGTCCTTAAAATTAAGTCCGAGTTGGAAATATATCTCAAACAATGTATGCACTGCCATCACCCCACATAAACATAACAGTCTGCGATGAAACGGTTGTCTCCTGTATGCTCCACTTCCTATTGGCGCACGGTAACTTTCTATTCGCACGAGAGACTGAGACCTTATGCTAACCAATTTAGATTAATTTTTTTATGTTTTGGATGAAATAATATGACTGGTAGCCTATAGGTGCGAGAAAAAAAAAATAATACAAAAATTATTTTTTATAAAATATTTTTATATAAACTGAGAATTGTTACCAATGATTGCTTGTTGTTTACAGAGCCCATCCCAGAGTGTGACGTGGAGCAGTGGAACAAAGATGTTGTGCATTTTTGGGTCACTTATATCCCACGGAATTCTGCAGTAGCTACTCAAGGAGCACTAACCTGGTGACACTTCTACATCAGGATCTTAAAATGGATATAATCCCCCCCACAGTGTTGTTCTTTTTTAATTCAGCTGCTTTTTAATATAATTTAAGGGACTATTCATTCCAGTGGCCCACTCATTTTCAGACTCCCCCCTACTTCTGGTGATCGGGGGCTCGTGGCTTTCCGTCTGGAGCTGGACTCCATCTTGGACATCCTAGGTTCATCTCAATTGAATATTTCACCTCCTCCTTTCCCTCACTTGCGTCCCTTCCTTGCGTCTTAGCTCCGCCTCCGTAAGATGCGAGCGAGAGACACAAGGACAAAGCAGAGGAGTCCTCAGGTATTAATTGGGATGTCCTCGTTCACTCAAACGTCACTTTTAAACAACGTCTGTTAATGATGACATGTGCACAGCTGTATCCCCTCTCATCGGGCTTAACTGAATAACCCTTTAGAACCGGCCCATTTGTTATTAAATATTTATTTAAATGAATGAATCTTTCTTCTGTATAAGTCAAGGAATTCAATGTATGATGGTTGGTCCTGCTTTTGTGTTCCGCTTTGGTGTGAAATGTAGCATACAAATATAATTATAGTAATGTGAAAGCCTTTACTCTGAAAATGTGTGTCCTCGATCCCCACAAACCCACATTCAGGACTGTGAATTTTAAATAATTGAACTACTGAATATTTTAACACAAAACTATAAAATAATTGTTATTTATCAAGATCTAGCCATTTATGAAATAGCTTTCTTAATAGCTATGTTTTAGTGACATTCAAGATCATTAAACATGACTTAAATTGTTAGTATAACCTTAAGAAATGAATTGCACATAATAATTCCCACGGAGCTGTGAGCACTTTCATTTATGTGAAGCTTTTCCACTCATTCTTCCAGTTTTCCATTTTCCTCTGTTGAAATCGACCAGCTGTGAAGGTGGGGGCGGGGCTTTTATATGCGAGTAGTGAAAACACTTCTGCATAGTCTGCTCTCGTGTATCCTCCCATGCTGGTTCCCAAGAAGACAGGAGAATTCAGACCCATCCTAGATCTCCGCAGCCTAAATCGGCACATCGCCTTTGGATAAAAGCGTCAGCTAAATGCAATGTAAAAAAATTCCAGATGTTAACTGTGAAACAGTTACTGGGAATGGTGCAGCCGGGCGATTGGTTTACAACCATCGACCTGAAGGACGCTTACTTTTGTCGAAATTGTTCCAAGACACAAAGTATTTGCGTTTTGCCTCCCAGGGGATAGCCTACGAGTACAACAGACTGTCGTTTGGCTACTCCCTACCCCCACGCACGTTAAGCAAATGTGTGGCCACAGCGCTTTAGCCGCTTCGCGACCATGGCATGAGGGTTTTCTTTTATCTGGACGACCTCATAGTCATGGCCAGGTCCAGGGAATGGGCAATGTTTCACACAGCTCAATTGATCCTACACCTAACCAAGTTGGGTTTTGCAGTCAATTAGAAGAAGAGCAATCCCATACCTCACCAGCAGGTGCAGTATCTGGGGATGGTGCTCGATGCAGGCAGGCTACGCGCCACCCTGTCAGAAAGCAGACAGGCGTCCCTGCTGCGGGCAGTTCGCAGACTGCGACAGGGGGCAACAGTAGGCTTGTTTGAGACGCGTTGCGGCTCGCCTCGAAAGTAGACAAGAGTGGCCGATCGCAGCCGGGGGAGGTCTCAAAAAGCTCGCCTGAAGTCGGACAGCTACGAGTCGGCTTCTTCTTCTTCGCCTTCTTCTTCTTCTTCTTCTTCTTCTTCTTCTCTCGTTTATTTGGCGGATTGCAAACAACTTTAAGGTGCATACCGCCACCTCCGGAGTCGGCTTGACTCGGTTTGCATTTATAAAGAATGCACACATGTGTTTAATCGTTAATGTCAGATATGTACTAAGTAAATACATTTGTTCCTGCTCAAGATTAGATTCAACTTTATTGTTATTGCACATATTACAGGTACTGAGACAACGAAATGCACTTTAGCTTCTAACCAGGAGTGCAACAAGCAGTAAAGTGAAAAGTAATGTACACAATCTACAGAATAAAATATAGAATGAATTGAATGATGAATAAACAGTGAGGGGTATGAATACACTAGATATCAGCCTGTGAGCAGTATGAACAGTGTGTATGAATATGCTAAGATATATAAAGTATGAAAACGGTAAGCAGTGCAAGTATAGTATAAAATATATGGATATTAATTTCAATATGATAAACATTGTGGAACAATGATGAAAAATGGGAATGGATGTGGCGACGTAAAACTGACACAAAACAACAAACTTTTGCCGAGCCAATTGGAGAGTTTCATCACCAGCACGTGGTAAAAACCACCAATGAGCGCTCAGCTCGAGATACCAGCGAGTCGTTTCCCATCAAGCATTTCGCTTCCGCAGCCCGTGGAGAGGAACTGCCGCGCCTCGCTCTCAAGGCTGTGGGCGTCTTTGTCCCGCGAGATTTCAACGTCTCATGTAGGCGGGCCTCCAGAGCAAGTCGGACAAAATGACTAACCATCATGCAACGCACTAGCAAGACGTTGATCGCAACTGCGCAGGTCTCGCTTGTCTCAAACAAGCCTACTGACAGCTTCGACTATCATGCAGACTCTGGGTCTCATGGCGGCTGCCCACTCCGTGGTGCCGCTGGGGTTGCTGCATATGCCGGCCTTCGTTTAGATCCCAAGAGGCACAAACGACGTCTGGTGACTATCCCCCCTCAGTGGTGGGCAACTTCCGGTACTGGGGGTCCCCAGTACATCTCCGGAGGGGAGCTCCGCTGGGGCGAGTGACCTCCTACATCACGGTGTTCACAGACGCATCCGTGACAGGATGGGGGGGGGACCTGCCTAGAGAGAGCTATAGGTGGTCGCTGGGCTCTGACGGAGACTCAACACAGCAACCTCCTCGAGCCGTGCGGGCAGTAGGGTTGGTCCTCCAGCACTTCAAACCTGTAATACAGGGCAAACATGTGCTGGTGAGGAGCGACAACCGCACCACAGTGGTGTACATCAACAGTTAGGGCGCAGTCCGCTCCGCCGCCTTGTTGACCACAGCAGAGAATCTGTGGTTATGGGCCTCAGAGACTGTGTTGTCTCTGAGGGCCCTCCACATCCCGGG